GCATATGAGGCGACTGGAAATATCATGGCTTGTGTCAGGCGCACCTTAGTCCGCAAGGAGATATCCTTGCTCCTCAGCACTTGAAACACTGGTATATATGTTTATAATTATTTGTTAAAGTGATTGACTTGAATACGTGATCTCTTGGGGGAATTTGCATTCTCCCTAATTTTTAAATGGAACTTGTGTACTGTTCACTGGATTTAAATGGAATGAAAATTAGTTTCATGAGGCCAGGAGTAAGATTTTAAAAGAAAAATATAGGAAATCATCTCCAGAAATTTTAAGAATAATTAAGGGAAGTATTTACTTTATGTCCTGGTAGCTTTCTTCGTTCTTCTTCAATGAAACTACTGTATAACCTACGTACAATTCTCCTTGCCCTCATTAGTTTATGTTATTTCAACTTTAAGTTCCAATTGATTCTTTCTTGTTCTTCTTCTCAAGTTTAGTAACTTTATTGAAGGTATCAGGCAAGATAATATGATGTTTTAAAACTATTTAAAAGTCTCACATATGAAAATGTAGACTTTTCAAAAAAATTTTTTTGATTGTAATTTGGGTGAAAGTTTACAGAGCAAATTCATTTTCCATCCAGCCGTTCATACACATTTTTTCCATGACATTGACTGCAATTCTCCACAACGTAACAGCTCTTCCTACTTCCTCCCTGTAGTTACGTCATCCCTGTGTCTTTCTGTCCTGTGCGAAAATGAACATTTATAAAATAATCTGGGGAAATAGTAATTCAATTTAAAAGATTTACTAAATCTCTTTAAGTAGTAAACTGCCTAGTCTAGTTTACACAATTGTTTTAACTGAAAACGCAACTTTTCATGCAACTGAACATTGTAGCAGTAGAAAATATATTTTTCCCCTCAATGTCGAAACAAAACAAGATGTAAGAGAGAAAATATCTAAGCAGACTATCACATATCCCACCATGTCCTACCACTAACGTCTCTTCCAGTATCTACTGCTTTCCATGTCATTGAGCTACTTCAAATTTCAAGGTCAGTGGGAGAAAGCTAGACCCCAGCCCTTTGTTTGCCCTTTTTCTTCTCAGATACAGGAGTGTGTGTGGGGGGGGAGACGGGCTTGGGTATGCGCGATTTCCAACAGGCACTTTCAACAGTTGTCCAAGTTTGACTTTGCCTGACTTGAAAAAGAGAAAAAGTGAGACTGGCCCACTTTGATGGGCAATTATCTTGTGGTGCTGTCGGTATGTATTTGCATATCATACACTGGGCAGAAGTGAGGACTAAGAACATTTTAGAGTTACTTAAAGCCTTCACTTTCAATTAGCAAGGAAAGTAAGAGTCACCTGGCGATTCAGTTGGGCGGATAGAGTACAAGTTAAGGAACTGCCACAACCAGCTTTCCCCCCCGCATTGTTCAACAGCAGGGGGCACAATACTCACGGGCCACAGTCAGGCTGCTAGGAGGGGTGGACCTAAGGGTTGCTGGGGCTTGTAGTTCAGCCTGGCCCCCTTACCCAGTTCTGCCCCTGGGCTAGAACTACAACTCCCAAGTAGCATTCCGTGCCTCTCTTTTTCTCCCGCCCCCTCTCAGAAGAGGTGACTGCTCAGCCGGCCTCTAGAAGCCTCAGGAAACTGCTCGACTCCGCCCCTGTACGCACGCGTCTCATTTGTTTACCCTGAAGCCCCGCCCCTGACAACCCCGGCTCTCCTCGCACCTCCCAGGAATGCCGCAATATTGGCGATACATATTCATGAGGCCCGCGGGGAGTCCCCGCCCCTCCCCGGCGCGTGATTCATATTCAATGAGCTCCGCTCGGCGGCTGGCTTGCCCCGGCCAGGCGGGGCGAGGGCGGGGCGTGCGCTCGGAGCTGGCGGCCGGGGCGGGGAGGGCGTGTGTCGGCTACGGGCTGGCGCGCGGGATGGAACGCCGAGACACCGGCGGAATGCTCCGAGTCGCCACATAATACCCCGGAACGGCCGCGCCGAACGCCATTGGCTT